ATGGTCATGGAGCAACTGGAGGTCTACATGCAAAAAAGTCAGTCTAGACACAGACCTTATACCTGTCATAAAAATTAACTCAAAATGGACCACAGACCTAAACGCAAATTCAAAACTGTAAAATTCCTAGAAGACAACACAGGAGAAAACCTACATGACCTCTGGCTTGCCAATGACTTTCTAGATACAACATCAAAGACATGATCCGTGAAAGAAATAACGATAAACTAGACTTCAATAAAATTTAAAACTTTTACTCTGTGAAATACACTGTCGAGAAAAGGAGAAGACAAGTCACAGAAGGAGAAACTATTTGCAAAAGATGCACCGGATAAAGAACTGTTATCCAAAATATACAAAGAACCCTTAAACTCAACACTAAGGAAGCAAACAACATGATTAAAAAGTGGGCCAAAGACCTGACCAGACCCCTCACCAAAGAAGATAGACAGATGGCAAACAAGCATCTGCAGAGATGCCCCACGTCCTATGTCATCAGGGAACAATGAGACAACAATGAGATACCACTACACACCTATTAGAAATGGCGCAAATCCAGAAACTGACAACACCAAACGCTGGCGAGGGCGTGAGGAAGCAGGAACTCTCATTCATTGCCGGTCAGAATGCGGTGGAGCAGCCCCTTTGGAAGACGGTGGGCAGTTTCTTACAAAACTAACCATCCTCTTATCATGTGAGCTAGCAATTGGGCCCCTTGGTGTTTACTCAAAGGGGCTGAAAACTTATGTCCACATACAAACCCGCACATGGATGTTTATAGCTTTATTCGTAACTGCGGAAACTCGGAAGCAACCAAGATGTCCTTCAGTAGGTGACGGGATGAATAAACTGTGAGACATCCAGGCAGTGGAATAGTATTCAGTGTTTAAAAGAAATGATCCGTTGAGCCATGAGAAGACACGGAGGAATCGTAAATGCATATGACTAAGTGACAGAAGCCAATCTGAAAAGGCTGCAGACTGCATGATTCCAAGTCTGTGACATTCTAGGAAAGGTAAACTATGGAGACAGTGAAAAGATCAGGGGTGGCCAGGGGTTGGGGGGAGGGAGGGGTGGACAGGTGGAGCGCAGGGTTTACAGGGCAGTGAAACTACTCTGCAGGAGACTATAAAGGTGGATACACGTCATTTGTCCAAACCCATAGAACGTTCAACACCAAGAGTGAGTCCTAATGTAGACTTTGGACCGGGGTGATGGTGGTGTGTCCGTGCAGGGTCATCGACTGTGACACATGCGCCACTCTGGGTCGAGAGGTGATGCTGATGCGGGGTAAGTTGGAGAGGTGCCACAGGGTATGTGGGAAATCTATACATTTTTGCTCAATTTTGCTGTGAACTGAAAACTTCTCTAAAAAATAAAGTTTACTAAAAAAAAAAAAAGGAGCAAAATGCTGACACACACTACGACATGGATAAACCTTGAAAACGTCACGCTACGGGGAGGAAGCCAGTCACAAAAGGCCACATATCGTGTGATGCCATTGATACGAAATGTCCGGAACAGGCACATATGCAGACGGACGGTTGCCAGGAGCTGGGGGGAGGGGGGAGGAAGGAAGGGGAACGACGGGTAAAGGGTGATGGAAAGGTTCGGGAGCAAGGTAGTGTCGGTTGCACAACGTCGTGAATGCACCTGGTGCCACTGAATTGCACACCTCACAATGGTTAATGGTTAATTCTACATTAAGGGAACCTCTACTGATGGTACTTCCTTACATTTCTCGGCGGCCCGGAACGTGTGGCAGTGGTCTCTCCTGGCCTGGGTGGAATCCCCGCCAGCAGCGGTGGGGCTGCAGGCTGCTGCTCTCTCCCACTCCCCCTGAATCATCCTCTGAGCTCTGTCCCCAGGACTCCGGTTCACCCCCAAACCAGGTCTCTTCCAGGTGTCTGGGATGGGGGAGGAACTACACGAGAGGTCCCCTGGGTGGACGGGGCACAAAGAGACACTGTTCAGTGCAGTCTCAGGGAATAGCATATCCGTCCACCCAGTTGTACATCTGCAGGCCCAGGAGGCATCCAGAGGCCCCCCTCCCTCACCCCTGCCCCAGGGTCGGATTCGTGCTCCTGTCCCGTTGACGTCACCCCTCGGAATCTCCTGATTCGGTCCCCCCGCCTCTCCGTCTCCACTGTGACCACCCTGGTTCAGGCCTCCGCCGTCTCTTGCCTGAACCCCCACCACAGCCTCAACCACTCTCCCCAAGTCCACTCAGGACCCCTCCTCCCCACCCCAACTCATTTTCCAACACTCCCGCCAGAGTGAGTTTTGAAAATGCAAATCTCATCATATCCACCCTTGCCTCACACCTTGTAAAGGCTTCCCGTTATTTTAGGATGGAAACAAAACTTGTCCCCTGGCCAAAAAGGACCCGCATATCCCACATGCTAAGTACCTTTCCCGCCATAGCTCACGGCCCTCCTCCTCAAAGCTCTAGCACTGCCATGGCTGTGTGACCCTGGGCGCGTTGCTTAACCTCTCTGAAATTCATGTTCTTCACAATGAGAAGGGATTATAAGAAGTGCCTGGCCAAGGCAAGGTAATTAAACACACGGTAATATGATCATTTCCTGAGTTAGACCCTCCGCTAAATCCTTTACAAACTCTGCTCCATCGAATCCTCCCAATACCCTCACGAGCTCTGAGTCTGAAACGCCAGTTCCCAGAGGAGACGGCCAACTTGCCACAGGGAGCTTGGACTCCAACCAAGCCCACGTCAGGCCTGCTCTCACAGCCCTGCTCTATGGAGTTGTACTGTTTTCTAGGCTTTTCCTGGGCAACTGAGGGCTTCACAAATAACTCACTCTTCTCCATGCTGGGTGCATCTTCAGGAACAGGACCCTCTAAGGATTCCGGGGTGTGCCTGAAGTGGGCCCTGCACGGTTTTGAAGAAGCGGCCTTTGAGATCTTTGCAAACGCCTGCTGCACACACATCCACGTGGTCCCCCATGTCTGGTGTCATCCAGGCCAGCGTGCACCTCCCTGTCTTTCCATAAAGCCCCCAGTGATGAGACTTCAGCCTAGTTAACTCCAGGAACTTGGATTGGATTCTTTATATATATATATATTTTTGGCTGCACTGTGTGGCTCGTGGGATCTTAGCTCCCCAACCCGGGATTGAACCCTGGCCCTCAGCAGTGAAAGTGTGGAGTCCTAACCATGGACCACCGGGGAATTCCCTGGATTGTATTCTTGTAAGGATTGATGGCAAGGAGAAGAGTCCCCTGTGGTAGGGAAGTCAACTTTCATTGGTAGGCAGTTGTCTTTGCTGATTTCTAGCTATTTAATTTCTTTTAAACCATGGTTAATCAGCTGTCAGTACTGCACACCTTCGTCTATTCCAGCTTCCTGGGCAGCAAAGTGAAAAGTAAATAAACGTGAAACATCAGAAACAGAAAAGTCAAGCACTCCAGCTTAAGCACAACTGTCATTTTGATCAGCTTAAAAATGACGTCCGATGACTTAGCAGTGGCCTGGAAAGGAAGGAGCAGGCAAAGCCATGCCTGGAAGGGAGCGGCAGATGAGGACTTGGTGATGTTCTGAAACAGTATGAAAAACATCACCCTACGTTCATCTGCTTTCTCGTCAGATATTCATGAATCCTTGTCAAGAATTTCAGAGTTATGTGTTCAGACTGGTTGTAATTGAGACAGAAGTGGGGACAGAAAGCACGGCTCTCCCGGGACTTTTGAGGTTGGCTTCAGAAACCCTTTTCCCACTGCAAACGGACTCTGGACTCCAGACCCAGGTGCTTTGGCTTCCAGACCCCGCTTTCATCTCTTTCCAGCTATGTAACCTTGCTGAGCAATGTTTCCAATCTCTCTGGACTGTTCCTCACCTCTGAACAGGACAGATCTCATTTCATTATCAGGATCTTCCAAGCGCTGACCTTCTGTGGTTCTTTGGAATTTCTTTAGGGCACTTTTCCTGCAGAGGACTCCAGGGACCAGTCTCAGGAGACCCCCGAAGGCTATTTCTTGAAGACCCCCTAACGCAACAAGGTTGCCCAAGGCCGCACAGCTGGTTACTGCCCTGACTACGGTTTTATTATTGGCGAAAGAGAAGTGGGCAGGAAACTAACGGTACAGCGTTTTCCTTTCCGAATGAAAATAGCCCCACCGTTTCGTGTTTGGAGGATCAAAGGAATTTTAGCTCGTTGTAAACAACTCAGAAAACAGAGGCGAGAAGAAAAATGAAAAAGCAGTGGTAATCCCAGCAATACCAGTAAGCAGGAATAACATTTCTGGGAACTGCCTATAGTTTGGGAATTTTTTTCCTACGAGTACCCACAAACGCACTTTTATGCTCTATAAATACAGCCAAATTCATACTATGTTTTTCTTTTTTTTTTTTTTCATACTATGTTTTTCATATATAACAGTCCCTATATTATACACGATACATAACATCAATTACATATAAAATATACACCACGTGTAATTAATATATATTTTTCCAGGAGTGTGCCCTCGAGCCTGTTACGGCCCTAGGGTCTCCTGAACACCCGCTGTTACTCGGGGGAACACGGCCAGAGCAGTAGCTAGAGCCTCGCCGGGAGCAGCCGACCGCGGCATCTGAACTACAAGTCCCACCATTCCATGCGCGGGCGCAGTCGGGCGACCAGAGGGCGGAGGGACCACAAGTACCGGCAGGCTTGGCGCAGACGCAGGAACCACGAGTCCCAGAATGCATTGCTCGAAGCTCGCGCAGGGCCCTCCGGGATATGTAGTCGTCGGGGAGCTAATTCCTATTCATTAGGCCTCAAAGAAAATGCAAATTCTCCAACGGTCCAGCGATGCGACTTCTCAGGGGCTAGCGAGGAGCCCGAGCGCGCGACGGGGAAGAAAGAAGCCTAGCGGCCTAAACTGTGGCGCGGGAGCACGACGCGTGCGCATGCCCGGCGGTCACCAGCGCCAGCGAAGGGCGCGCGAGAGGCCCCGAGCGGCAGGCCCCTCCCCTACGCCCCGCCCCCCGGCCGGCGCGCCCGCCCAGGGAGCCTGCGCAGACGGTGCAAGGCAGAGGGCCGCAGGGAGGGACTCGCAGCGCCTGCGCAGAGCGGCGGCTTCTCTCGCGAGGACGGACGCCATTATCGCATCTCCTCGACAAACACCACGAGAATTCCGCAGCCCACACGGTAATTGCAGCTCCCGCAGCCGGTCGCGTCTCCGCCTCCCCCTTCCCGCGGGGCGAGAGCGAGAGCGAGAGCGAGATCTCCCCTCCTCCCTCCTCCCTGCGCCCTCCTCCGGCCGCCGCGCCCGCGCCGCCGCCCCCGCCCCCCCGACGAGGGACCGGCCGCAACGGCCCGCCGCCCTGCGCGCCCCCGCGTCAGCCCTGTCAGCCACCGGGCCGCCGCACCTCAGCGCCCGGCTCCGGCCGCCCCTCCCCCCGCCCCCGCCGGCGCGGTGCCGGCGGCCGGCGCGGGCCTCTCGTCCGGGACCTGCCCCTCACGAGCGGCGTCCGGCCGCGGGGCGGGCGGGGCGGGGTCGCGCTGCTGCTGCGGCGCAGCCCCTCCGAGAGGCCCCGGGAAGCCGGAGGCTGCGGGCGCGGGGACCGCGGCTGCGGAGCGGAAGTGCGGGAGGCGGCAGGTTCACCCGGGGCGGGCCCGAGTGAGGGGGACGTCCGTGGGGACCACTAGTCGGTGCTCGGAACGCCTGAACCGCCTGTAACGTTAACTCCGTGGATTCAGCTCCAGTTCTCCTTTGTCTGGCAATTAAAATAAGCGTGTGTTCTTGGGACGTGGGCTTCTGTCACCACTGGCGTTAATTTGTAGCAAACGGCTGTCATGTGCGGGTCCTGTGCTGCGGCCGGGCCCGCCGAGCGTTTGCAGCGTTTCTCAGCACAGCGGTCCAGGCAGGTGGACAGGGAGGTGACTGAGGCTCACGGAGGGTGAGGGACTTGTCCGGGACACACAGCCAGGTTTGAACGCGATCTGTCTCAAGTCCATGTTCTTAAAGAGCTGCACACATACTTGATATCTTAATAAAGAATTGTACCCAATAAAATGTCCGTGGAAAACTTAACATGAAAAGCAAAGCCCCTGCCCCACTTCTCAGTTCCGCTCCTCAAATTCTTTGATATCTTTTTGTTGTTTCTTGAAGTTCTCCATAGCTCTAAATAATAAGCTGGCATTGTATTGGTTTTATACGTTCTTGACTTGCTGTTATGACAGGATGAGTTAGCTTTTCGTATCTTATCTCACCTCTTCTATCCCTGTCGAGCAGATATTGCTTCACTGCCAGCTAATACATTTTCCCTCTATACAGCCTTTTTTTTTCCTATTGTTTGTGACGGCCTTTCTTTTTCTTTGCACTTTCTGTTCCCACTGATTCTTTACCTCGTTTTAAATTCTCAAGGATGGTGTTGGATCTCTCCAACCTTTTTCTCATGTGGACTGATTACTCTTTAGACCAGCCCAGGTACCATCCTGATGTTTTCTTTTACTATACATCTGAGTTTGTTCAGGTCTCACGTTTTAATCTTGGCTTTCTTTATTTCAATGAAAACTTCCTGCCAAGGAGCCTTATTCCTTTTGGGTAACTCGTGAGGATCCTCGTTGGTGTTCAGCCATTTCTAGAATGCCCCGAAAGTGTCGAGTCCCACCACGAGTGCTCTTTGACTTTGGGGACGTGTCCTTCGGCTCTGGAATTGGAAATGCTCTTGTATCATTTGAGAATTTCGTCTGGTCTGCTTTTACTCTTCTGTTTTAGGAGTTGCTGTTAGTTTGATGATGGACATCTTGGATTAATTCTCTGAATCTCCCGTGTTTATCCTCTTCCTGTGTCGTTTTATTCTTGTTGCTGGGATAGGGCTTCCATTTATCTTCCAGTCCTATTTAAATTTTTTTTATTTCTACAGAGTTTTAATTTCTGAGGACTGACTTGTTCTTTTTTCGTAATAACGTATTGTCTGGTGAATGCATTGTGTCCTTGGCTTTGAGGATATACTCTTAAGGATTTGTTCAGTTCTCTTGTTCTCTGATTTCTTGTTTCCTCTAGTGTCACTTGTTGTTTTCTTCTTTTTAAAAAGATTGGCTTCTTACTTTGTGTGGCAAGTACTCTTCAAGTATTGGTAATTATTCTTGTCTAAGGCAGGAGGAAGCAGGCAGAGAAATCAGGGTCTGTGGGGCTGAATTTTTTTTTTTTTTTTTTTTTTTTTTGGCCGCATTTGCGCGGCCTGAGGGATCTTAGTTCCCCAACCAGGGACTGAACCCCGGGCCCACTGTAGTGAGAGCGTGGGATCCTAAGCACTGGAACGCCAGGGAAGTCCCCTGTGGGGCTGACTTTGAAAATGTGCGGGTTTCCCTTCAGGTGTTTGGGAACTATTTATTGTGCTGGGACCTCAAATGCCAGAAGACAGGTGTTCTATGGGCCTTTCAGCGTAAGGAAGACCCCTTTGGTTTGGGGCTGCTCCATCTGGTGTCGGGAGGGCCGTAGTGCAGCTCTTCTGTATAGGGATCTGACTTCTGTGGGCAGCCACAGCCCTCGCCCTCGCCCGAGGATCCTGGGTATGGGGTCCTCGCCATCCACAGGCTTAGAGCCCTCCTTTGGTTGTATCCACTCCTGTGTGCTCCACATTGCTATTTCCTTTTCCCCCCATTAAATCCTCTTGGTCTGCCAGAAATCTGCCACATCTCTTGCCTGTTGTCTTATATTCTTTCTTGTGGGTTTATTATACGATATGAAAAGTCATTTTAATGGGATGAGCAGAGCTCACCTGTGGGGCCAGTCGCTTTCTGTGAGTAGGTAGTCCAGGGTCTGTTCTCATTGCTCTGCTCTCCTGCCTCCCAGTGGCCTTGGTGATGGTTGCCCACCAGCAGTGGGATGGATGGCCAGATCACGGTCCCCATGGCCGCCGCTGCGTTGCAGTTGTGGGCGGGTGGTGTGCGTTCCTGCTGGCCGTTCTGGCTCCGCAGCCTTGCAGGGTGCCAGGCTCGTCTGGGGAAGGCCAAGCACAGACAGCGTTAGAGCAAAGATTGTGATTTTAGACTCTGCAGTGAGCTTCTCTCTGTGTCACTGGGCCGAAGTTTAAGGATTGCCTCTAGGTAAGCAGTGATTACAGTGCTCAAAGTGTAATCTTGGTGCATTTACTTGATTGTCCTCTGAAAGTTGTGAGTAGTGAAATACATCAGTTGTGTTTTCCAGGGCCTTGCTAGTGGAGTGCTCCACAGCAAGGACCACAGCATAACCATCACTGGGCTTTTGAGAGAAAAGCAGACTCTCAGGCCCTGTCCAACATACGGAATCAGAATCTGGAGCTTTGTAAACTTTTCCTTTTTAAAAATTTTTTTTTATATTTTATTTGTTTATTTTTGGCTGCGTTGGGTCTTCGTTGCTGCGCGCGGACTTTCCCTAGTTGCGGTTAGCGGGGGCTGCTCTTTGTTGCAGTGCGTGGGCTTCTTATTGTGGTGGCTTCTTTTGTGGCAGATCACGGGGTCTAAGCGCACGGGCTTCAGTAGTTGTGGTGCGCAGGCTCAGTAGTTGTGGCGCACGGGCTCAGTAGTTGTGGCGCATGGGCTTAGTTGCTCTGTGGCATGTGGGATTTTCCTGGACCAGGGATCGAACCTGTGTCCCCTGCATTGGCAGGTGGATTCTTAACCACTGCTCCACCAGGGAGGTCCCAGTAAACTTTTCCTTTTGAAGGAACTTTAGACTTAACAGAAAAATTGCAAAAATAGTTTAGAGAGCTACCCTATGCCTGTCACCCACTTCCTTTAATGCTGACATCTTAGATTATCAAATATTCTTATAAAAATCAGAAAATTAACATCGTCACAGTACTGTTAATTGAACTGCAGACTTTGCTGAACTTCATCAGCTTTCCACTAATGTCTTTTTTCTGTTTCAGGAGCTAATCCGGGATCCCTCTCTGCATTTAGTTGTCACGTCTCCTTAAGTCTCTTCCAATCTGTGATATTTACACAGCCCCAAAGTATCTCTCCCAAGATGTTTATAAATTACAAGCGAAAAATAGTAACTTCACAGTGGAAAAACCTGGCAGATAGCATCTCAGCATCACCAGTAATAAGACATAATGATATCATGTTTCTTGATGTGCACTGAGACAGAAATGCATACCCAAAGTCTAACCGTGACGAAACCCACGTTGAGGCACATGTGCCCAAATCTTGACTAGCGCGCCGCAGAAGTACCCCAGGTGTTGAAAGGTAGGGAACGGTTCAGAATTTGCACTTTAAAGGACTTCCAGGTGTAGCATATGCACTTTGCTGAAGAAATACTTCCTGTGTTAGATGGTTGTCAAGGAGAAAAGATAAAGAACCACAAGCCTTGTTTGGTGGATCGGTAAATGGGTGTCCCTGGCACAGGGTCTAGTGAGCTTGCCTAAATGGCTTATTGGTAACACCACTTACAGCTTACGAGCCTTAGTTTTTCCTTATGACCTTCATCTACGCTATAAATTCTGAAAACTTCAGCTGTACAGTTAAGTATACATATTACATGACAATGGCGACTGACTTTAAAATGTCATTTAACTTTACCACTTTAGCTATTTAAATCTGGAAAAAATAAGCATTTTCTCATTTTGAAGAAAAGACTTCTGGGGGAAAATACCTATTAAAGTTCTCAACGAGAATGTCTTAGAAATAGCTGTAAAAAGTTCTCCCTTTAGGAGAGGGAAATAAAGGTCGTTACTGTGTTCTCTGACTTCACATATATGATGGTCATAAAAACAATTGCATAATGAATTGTTCACTGCAATTGCCCTGAACTATTCTGAAATGTTTATTTTTGGCAAATTTGAGAGCCGCTGGGGGGGTTGGGGGGCGGCATCACATGGTTGAAATTTGCTCTTAAAAAGTTACACTGGTTTTGTTGTTCCAGGATCCTACCTGGAGCTCATCTAAGTCCACAGAAGAGTAGAATCCTAGCATCATCCCTCCCTTTCAGAGTAGTTTTAAAAATACTTAACCCTTAGGTTTCTCACTTTTGTGTAGGTTGTGAAACCAGTTAAAAGCGAGAGCTTTAGCTAATGATCTCATTTTATGCCATCTGCCTTGCCTTTGACTCTGTCTGTCCACTATCGGGGCTGTGCCCGGCCTGCCTCCTGGGAAGAGAGGGGGCCCTCTTCAGTTCTAGAGGGCAGGGAGCAGGGGGATCGCTCTTGACGCCTTGTCAC